CATTACGATCTTAATGTTTTTACTCACGTATAAAACATTACGATCTTTATGAAGAGATGTTCTGGATTGGGTAGGAACCAGATTTCAGGGATGACTGACAGCTGATCATTTTAGATCATTTTTAGCCGATCGTACAGAGTTGTTGACACATTTTGTGCATCTTGTTGCTGTGCTTCAGACCAAACACAAACAAGTTTCCAGTGTTTTAATAAATAATAATCAGCAGGAGAAGAAGAATGTTTGTCCTCCTGGTCCCGAAGGCTTTCTGTTTGAAGACCAATCATTTGAAGTCTGGACTGAGAGGATCCTGGCCGGAGCTGAAGTGTTGGCTGATTTAAGCTTTTATTCCTCAGAAATGTGAAGCCTTTGTTTATTTTTATTGAAAATGAGTTTGTTTCTTCTTTACCTTAAAGACAGAGTGTCTTCCTGTAGCTGCTGTTGTTTTGTTAACGTGACCAACGTTCTCCTCAGGTTCTGGTGATTTTCTCCGATGGACTCGATGACGACGTGATGACTCTGGAGCATGAATCTGAACTCCTGCGGAAGTCTGGTAAACACAGGAACAGTCCAATAAGCACCTCAGATGGATAATAATCAGTAACTTGTAGCTGAAGGTGTTTTTGAGCAGGAGTCAGCGCTCTGCTGGTCGTGGCTCTGGAAGGAGTCCGAGACGGCGCTCAGCTGCAGATGGTGGAGTTTGGTCGAGGGTTTGGATACAAACTTCCTCTGAGCATCGGCATGCCAAGCATCGGCAGCAACATCCTCAAACAGATCGTGAGTCCTACACCGCTGCAGGAAGTAACGTTTCTTCAAGCAGCAGCTTCCACAGAGAGAACGATCTTTCCTCTGAAATCGATCAAATCCAAAAAGAGATCAAATCTGATCATTGAGAACGGTGGAAAGCCACGAATGCAGTCATTAAACTAAGAACTTGTCTGAATCAAGAAAGCTTTCAGCTGAAAAAAGATCTCAGATCATAAAGACAAAGTCAGGAGACACGTCAACTGTGGCTCATCTGTTCAGGTGTGTTGTGTGTTTAAAGACAGTTGATGAAATGAGCCGGATCACACTTAAATTTCTGCAGGTTTACATGGAAACGGTGTAGTTTCCATGCAGGGAGGGTTGCCAGATAAGAAATGATGAAGCATTGTACAGTTGCTTTGAAATGATTGTGTTATGGCCCAAGCTGAGGGTGCTGAAGAAAAGGTTTTGATGTTTCCCTGTCTGATGTCAAGGTGTTTGGTTTCCTGCCTGCAGGACGGCGTGTCGAACAGAGAGTGCTGCGGCGTCATGTGTAAATGTTCAGGACATGAAGGCGTGCGAGGCTCCCGGGGCCCCCTGGGGCCAAAGGTGACTGGAGCACACACATGTTTAGGCTTTCAGCATCAACATAAAACACTACATGTGTCTGAAGGAGGCAGACAGATGGCTCTGCTCAGCAGCTCCGGGTCAAAGGTCCACGTGTTCGGTTACACAAAGTGACACATATTTCCTCTGGACGCCTTAGAGTAGAGGAGTCTGAGCCCGAGGGCTGCTGGGAGGAGCCGTCCAAACAGGAAGTCTCCTAAAAACAAATTTCATTTCTATTCAACTGTGTGACGAGCTCAGAGGAGACAAGGAGGACATGGACACTGTCCCCCAGAGTTAGTGGAGCATGAATTTATAAATGCAGTTGTTGTGTTTTGTTGGATAAGTTAGAACGCATCAGCTCTTGTATTTATCTGTTAAACCTCCAGACCTTTTCAATTCACTGAAAATTAAAGACCAGGAGACAAACAAGATGCTCAGAAGAACAATCCAACTTGTTGTGTGTTCGTGTGTACATGTGTTGTGTGTCTTTGTGAACAGGGCGTGTCCGGACAGAAGGGTTACCCGGGGTTCCCAGGAGAGGAGGGCGTCGCTGTAAGAAACTTTATTTATTTGACTTCAGTAGATGCCCATTCAAGAGTCTGCTCCTGTTTAAGGATGTTCAGTGAGTAAAAGAACTCGTTTCATAGATTTACTCTTCAGCTTCTGAACAAACAGCAGGAGGAGCAAAGCCAGCAGCAGTTGTTCCCTGAACAGAACCAGTCAGGAAGCCGACAGACGGTTCAGTCTGTTCAACCTGTCAGTGTTCTGAATCCTGCGTCCTAAAGACCTGACTGATCCAGAACAACAAGCTGCTCGTACTGACTTTACAAACAGTCAACAAGCTGCTCG